GCCTTGCGGACCCCGCGCCAGTGGAACAGACCTTTTTTGTCGACGACGCCGTCAAGGCGCGGAGCGGCCCCCCGGCCCCCCCGCCCCCCCCCCCCCTCCTGAGCCCTCGGACGGACGCCCCCGCTCTAGGCGAGCTCATCTGGGCGCCCGAGGATGTCAACAACCTGATCCGCAAGGCCTGAGGGGGGAAGGAGGGGCGCGCGGCGAGGAGGGGCGCCTAGGACTCGCCGCCCGCACGCCGCAAGCCCCTCCTCTTCCCGCGCAGCGTACGCCTTGCGCGCAAGGGAGTACGGGCGCGAGCGTCCGGACTGTGGCGCGGAGAGTGAGGAGCAGAGAGCGGTGTTTAGAGAGAACGAGAGAGCCGAGAGCAAGACAGAACGCTTTGTAGAGCGGTCCTTGTACTTGAGGGACTACGAGGAGGATACACAGAGAGCGATATATCGAGACTTATAAAGTATAGTGTGTGCTCTCACTGGGGGTGAGGCGGCTCTGCGGGTGCGGCACACGCGCGCCGCTCACGACTCACGTGAAAAAAAGCTCCCATTTCTCCGGACGCCGAGTCGAAAGTACCACTGCGTACGGCGGCCGGCCGATGATTCCATTCCAGCACTACGGACAAACTTTTCTAGGCTCTCTTTTATTACAGCGCTGTACTCTCCCTCTCGAGTCTCGTCTACCTCGGGGCACCGCTCGGGGCGATGGTGAATGAGAGCAGCTGCTGGGTGGGCCGGTACTCCTTTGGGTTCTCGCGGTACTCGCCGTCGAGAAAGAAGTCGCTCTGCTCGGTCACCTCGGCGCCGCGCGACGCGAAGAAGGCGCTGAGCAGCGGCCGCGCGAGCTCGGGTGAGACGCCGCGCCCGTTGAGCAACAGCGCGGCTCGCAAGGCGGCAGAATCGGTCAGGGTGACGGTCAACCGCGTGGAGCTCAGCGACGAGCGCTGCTGCCAGAGGCCCTCGTCCGCGTCGCCGTCGTCAATCGCGTAGGCGGCGAGGTAGCCGCCGCGCTGTAGCGCGTCGAGCAGCGCGCGCACGCCCCTGAGTATCTCAGAGAGGGAGGAGGCAGAACCGGCTGCCTGTTGCGGCGGGGCCGGGGTGGCCGCCGCCACCGCCACGAGCAGCTCCTCGCCCACACGCGCGTAGCAGGCGGCCAGCTCCTTGCGCGGCAGCCGCGCCTCGCTCAGGAGCGTGAACAGGGCGAGCGCCGAGAGGTCAAAGCCGTACTGGAGCGCCTCTGGCTGCGACAGCGCGCTCGCGCCGCCCAGGGAGGTGTCGTAGCCGCCTGCCGCACTAAACGCGCCGGCAAAGAGCGCGCGATCGTACTCGATTGCGAGGGCTTGGCGGCGCGCACCCGCGGCCTGACGCAGCTTGGCGGCGCTCGGCGCGCTCACAGAGGGCGCGATGCCCGCGGCGGCAGCGTCCAGCAAGCGCTTGGCCAGCGCCGCGTCCAGCTGGCGCGCCGCCAACGGCGGCGGAGGCGGAGCCGATCTCGGAGCGCCGCCCGAGCCGAGCAGGCCGCGGGCGTAAAACTCGAGGTCCATCTCCGCCGCACCCTTGACGCGGACGGACGACGGCGCCTCTGCGGCGAACGCTAGTGCTGCGGGTGCCGGCAGAGAGGCAGCAGCCCGACTCAGGAGCTGGCGGCGAGAGGCGGCGGGCGGCGACGGCAGGCTGAAAGCAGCCAGCAAGCTCAGGAGCCACATCAAGGCTAGCGATGTCGAAGCGTGGTCGACCTGCAATAGGTGGGTACGCCGTGCGCGCGGCCTGGGGATAGGTGTAGGGAACAATGCTAGGCGACAGAGAGCGACTTGTTTGTGGCGGTGGGCGGAGAGCGTGTGTGTGTGTGGCTCTGGGGGCAGGCGGGGCCCCTAGGCGGTACCCATGCGGGGGGGAGATGGGGTCCCATGGCCCGCCGCAGGCGCCGATTTTTATTTTATTTCGCGATTTCTCCTTGTTTTCATGAGAATTTCGCGTCGTATTGCGACCATGGCTATCACGCCTTGCGACAGCCTGTCGGCGCTGCTGACCGTGCCATGATGCACAATTGACCACATGCATAGCTCGCGGCCTTAGTATCCAGCATTCAGTGACGACCTGATCGTGCGGCCAGTAGGGAGGTGTCCTTCCAGCGCGTGCACGCTTCTGACGCAATGCGCGTCACAAACTGCCTCGGATTGGCTGCTGGCACTCTCGAGGCTATGCCTATACACAGCCTCGCGCGCATGGGCAGTCAAGAGGGACCATGTACCTTCTCACGACAGCGCCGGTGCCTCTCTCTTGGACCGGCAAACGTGGTGGTCTCGTGTCACCAATGTGGGACCAGTGCGGCATCGCGCCATCGACAGCTCTGAACTGCGCCTCACCACTGACCGGGAAGGCCGCCAAGTGGGTCAGCACCGGTCGCACATTGTGGCAGCAGCCAGCAGCGCATGTCTGATAGCTAGAGCAGCAGCATGAGGGTCGCAGGGTCGGATCGTGTCAAGCCTCTCGCCCGGCCGGCCGCGTGCAGACGTCGGCCTGTCTGCTGTCTGGAGTGATCTGTCGGCGGTCAGTACGACCGATCAGGTTGGAGTTTTCTGATGATTGGAGGGTCTATCTGTGTGTACTCTTCGAGATCTCTCCAAATCTGCCCTCTGATCAACTTGATCATTCGGGAAGTCGGTGCTAGTAGAGACTAGTAGTTAAGTAGAGCCGGGCCCCGTTTCCGCACCGTCGTGCGGCGCGGCGCACGGTGCCTCCGGGGGCCCCCGCCTCCCCCCAGAGGTGTGTGGCTCCCTGGGTGTATCTCTTGGCGGAGCGAGAAAACGGCGTGCGCGCGGTACGTCGCACGTTTCGGTGATTGATGGAAAGATATGGATATTGGCATGTTGTGCGAGAATGGGGGCTCATGTCTCAGAAATATGAGGGGATTTGACTCCTACCGGCTCCTGATGCTATCCCTGGCAGCTCTAATGACCAGGATCAGTAGTGTTGTGATAGAGGGTGCCCATACTAGCGCAGGAGCTCCTTGATGTCGGCATTGCGAGCGAGGTTCGCGAGCGCTCCCACGGCCCACCTCTTCTGCCCGCCCGTGCCATTGCGAGCCAGCGCCACCAGCGGCGCGATGCCGCCCGCCTTTGCAATCGCCACCTTGTTATCGTCGTTGTTGCAAGCGAGGTTCCACAGCGCCCCCGCGGCCGCCTCCTTCTGCCCGTCCGTGCCGTCGCGAGCCAGCGCCACCAGCGGAGCGATGCCGCCCGCCATCGCGATCGCCACCTGGTTGTCGGCGCTGACAGCGAGGAGCCTCAGCTCCCTCGCGGCCTTCTCCTTCTGCCCGCCCCCTCCGCTCCGCAGCTGCTCCATCCACTCCCGCACCTCTGAAGGAATGGCGGCGTCCACAGCCGCGCGCAACGCGTTCGCAGCCGCTTGCAACGAGCCATGTCGCTCAAGCAACGCGATTGCCCGCTCACGCGTTGCCGCCCCGAGCTCGATCATCCGGCTCACATCGCGCTCTCGCTGCGCCTCCTTCTCCGCCTTCTCCCTCGCGACCTGTAGCTGCGCCATCTTGGCCTGAAGCTCCTCGCCCGCCTTCGCAATCGCCACCTTGTTGTCGGCGTTGTTGTAAGCGAGGCTCCTTAGCGCCCAACTGGCATACCCCTTCTGCCCGCCCGTGCTGCCGCGAGCCAGCGCCGCCAGCGGCGCGATGCCACCCGCCCTCGCAATCGCCACCTTGTTATCGGCGTCGCGAGCAAGGTTCGCCAGCGCCGCCGCGGCCTTCTCCTTCTGCCCGTCCGTGCCGCCGCGAGCCAGCGCGACCAGCGGCGCGATGCCGCCCGCCCTCGCAATCGCCACCTTGTTTATCGGCGTTGACAGCGAGGAAATACAGCGTCGCCGCGGCGTTCTCCTTCTGCTCGTCCGTGCCGTCGCGAGCCAGCGCCACCAGAGGCGCGATGCCCCCCGCCCTCGCAATCACCACCGCGTTGTTGAAAGCGAGCTCCCGCAGCTCCCTCGCGGCCTTCTCCTTCTGCCCGTCCCCTCCGCTGCGCAGCTGCTGGACCCGCTTCCGCACCTCCAAAGGAATGGAGGCGTCCGCAGCCGCGCACAACGCGTTCGCAGCCGCCTGCAACGAGCCGTAACGGTCAAGCAACTCGATTGCCCGCTGCCTTTCGGCTCCGAGCTCGATCAGCCGGCCCACATCGCGCTTGCGCTGAGCCTCCTTCACCGCCTTCTCCCTCGTGACGTTGCGAAGGCGCCCGTTGCAAACCTGATAGCCGGAATCCTGTGCAGCTCGTGTGTTGCCCAGGACCACGTTGGTGATGCGGATACGCGCAGGGTCCCTCACGCAGTGCTCCTCACGGATGCCAATGACACCCTCTGCGGCCCAGGCTGAGTCGTAGCCCCGAGCTGCCCAGCTGGTGCGCTCTCCCTGGCTGTTCGAACGCACGCGGTAGCAGCGTCCAAGGGCGACCTCCAGCACCAGCACACCTCCAGCCGCCGGGTTTGGCTTGCCGGCCGTGCCCTCAGCGTAGTTCAGGGCCTTCAGTAGTGTCGTGGTAACATAGACTCCTGGCCCGAGGGCGGCGCCGGCATTAGAGCCGGACAGATCCACGCGGAAGCCCGACTCCTGGATTGCCACAATTGCCTCCAGCGAGGTGCCGTGGTAGAACTGCATACTCAAGCGGCGAGAGGGACGACGCGCCTTGGGACGCGTGGGACGCGTGGTTTCAACGTCCCCCTTCCCCCTCCCCTCCCCAACCCAACAGGCCTGTGGTCAATTCTCACGTCGCTGCCGCAGCCGCTGATGGCGATCGCCGCCGATCAGCCATTCACGACCTATTAAAGACCTATTAATGACCTTTAATGACCTATTATTTAGTTAGGGCATACAACTGTATCTCTCTTTTGCCTCGCTCATCTAGGCGCCGCGCCAGCAGGCGGCGGTCTTTGCCTCGCAGACAACTTCACGCACGCCGAGTAGTAGTCCGTTTTAGGACTGTAGAAGTAGTGCTCACAGTTCACAGTAGGGTGATAACAGTGGATGGACGCTCTGTGGGCAGCAGCCTCCTCGTGCGTGGGGAGCACGCGGTAGGAGTCCTGGACCATGCAAATCACTGGACACTGCTCGTTGAATAGTTACTGCTCTTTCCATTGGCATTGCGTTATTTGTTGCTTTCAGTCAGAGGACAGAGCCGACACCTGTAGAGCCGTACAGATGCCACGAGATGCGGTGGAGATTGTATCATATTTAAATCAAGGCGTGTACCTCGAGTGTCATAGCAGCGCGGCGCGCAATGTCCATGTGTCTCGCAGCAGTGCTGCGAGTCCCGGGTCCTCGAAATCGCGGATCGCGATGCTGCAGCCCGCCTCCTCGAGCTTCTCGGCGGTTTGCGTCGACGTGATGCCGACGGTCTGGGTGCCTGCGGCCACGGCCGCGGCGGCGCCGGACGGCGAATCCTCAAACGCGAGGCAGTTCTCCGCCTCTACGCCGAGGAGGCGCATCGCGGCGAGGTAGGGCTCCGGGTGCGGCTTTGCGTGGCTGCACTCGTCGCCAATGATCAACGGCGAGAAGAAGCTGAGGCTCTCCTTGCCCGCCACGGCGCCGATCGCGCCGAGCATCAGCTCTGCGTTGGCCCTCGGCGCGTTGGTCACGGCGGCGCAACGCACGCCCTGCGCGGCCAGCGCGACGGTCCAACTGCTCCTCCGTGTCCGGGTCACCCCGTTGGGGGTGGCCGAGAACGACGACGGAGAGGTGCTTCTCAGTGTTGCCAAGCGCGATGAAGTGCCCATCGGCACGGGAGGCGGCACCTCCGCAGCGAGCAGAGCCGTTGCCCTTTGCGCCGGAGGGGAGGAACGGAGTGTAGCACTTGAACTCCCAGCACGTGGTCGTGGAGCCAAAGCGGATCAAGTCTGGGATGTGTGAGAAGAAAATACGTCCTATGGCTTCACACTGCTTCTCTTTTGTTTTCCCTTCGTTTCGACTCGTACGTCCCACCTCCGACGCCTGCACCATCGACCACGCGGATATAACATTACACCGGCGGACCCCGCACACGCCCACACGCCCAACACTGCTGCGCATTCTCACACCGCGGCGCCATCCATCATCGACGCGCACAAGCGCAGCACATCAGTCACGCTGAGCCGGTTATCTCGCATGTGCCGCTGCAGCCGCAAGCGCTGCGCTCCGTCGCCCGACGCGATGCCTGGACGCGGTTCGACCGCCTCGCAGTCCACCTGAGAGATGACCTCGGCGTGCAGCTCCGGAACGACCTCGGCATCGACCGCGCTCTCACCGCGCAAGCAGTGCCCCCCCGGCGCACCCGCGCCGCGGTGGCCCACGGTTGCCACGTGCTTGGCATACGCCACGGCAGCCTCGATTGCCGTCGCGAAAGAGCCTAGGTGCTGACCACGTCCTTGTGGCCCAGCTACTAGATCACTACATGGCCCAGTCGCTTTGAACGGTTTGGCAGGGTAGCTCCGGTTTCTTTGATGAATTATTGAAGTGACGCCTAGGTAGCCGGTGCTGGATTTGGAGCTCAGATGGAGATGATGGCCGTCTGCGAATGTCGCGAGGGATGCTGCCACTGCCGCCATCTTCAGACGCCTGTCTGCCGCGACCGCCTCGGACTCAGACGATAGCGGCCGTTTGCGTCCGCCCTTTCGTACCGCCTGCGCGGAAACGGGCTGCCATTCCGGGTCCTCCTCCTCCTCGTTGATCGATTGGATGTACTCTGGGAGCACCGAGTCCTCATAGTCGCCGTCGTTGTATTGGACGGCAAAGGTGCCGTCGTCGTTGGCGGACGTGACGACGCCAGCAAACCAGCGCGTACCAGCCGGCCCGAAGTCCGAGGCGCCGAAGCGGGCCCTCACAGCACTGCCCGCTACTATGGCCGTGTGCGCGAGACGCCGCGAAGGTAAAATTCGAGTCAATTCAGTCATTGGTCATTTTTCCACGTCGGCTAGTGTTGCGCGAGGGAGCTTTGTTGTGGGAATTCCCGTCTTCTCTCACACACAAGGCCCCCACGCAAGAGCATATTTCGGTCTAGCCGCGCACAGCGACAACCCGAGCAGACAGAGCCAGCACACAAAACCTCTAAATCTGTTGCGCTCCCCCAACAGCCTGCCTCGCCAGGGGCTTCTTTCTTTACAGCCGGCAGCGTTCGCCAATCAATCCCTTTCGTTTTTCGGGTACTTGAGTATGTTATTGGCATATTAAACACAAGGCTAACACAAAATCACCAGCGGGTCGGAGGAAGCACGAGGTCGACCAAGTGCACTCTGCTCCGTGCACAATGCCGCTCTCTCCGCATGCTAGCTCGTTCACCGTCTGCCACGCCACGGCGGTGTGGAGAACGATATACAAACGCTGCATGTGCAGGCCGTGCCGATTCTTGTGCATTGCCGTTAGATTCTTTCTTAATGGAGTCGCTTAGGCTCTCCGGTGGTCTCGAGCCGGTGGTGTGCCGGTGTGTGTGCTAGTCTGCGCCAGTTAGTGCGCCCCTGTTGTGCCAGTGTGCTGACCGTTCTTGTAAAATTCTTTCCGCGATGTCAAGGTTGTCTGCCCCCTCACCAGCGGCGGGGAGCAAGGAGTACCGGACGTTGCCTTGGCGTTAGGCCGGACGCGCCCTTGCGCGCGGGGGCCGAGTCGATCTCTTCCTCGGACGAGGTGAGACGGGCCGTTGCATCGCCGCCTCGGGCCGTCTCCGCCGCCAAGCGAGGAGGTGGGGCGTCTCTCTCTCTCTCTCTCTCTCTCTCTCTCTCTCTCTCTCTCTCTCTCTCTCTCTCTCTCTCTCTCCCCTCCCGCGTCACGGCTTGCCTGCTGCTCCATAGGCGCCAAACGCGCTGCAATCCATTGTCGAGATTCTCTCTCCTGCGTCGCGGACCGACAAAGCGGCGTCCCCGGTAGCCTGAAGACACGCGGCGTGGCGCGCGAGGTCAGGACAATGGGCCATGTACCCATGTTTCAGGCCATGTCTGTGGATACTCTCCTCGTCTGAGAGTATGGAGCTCTTCTTCTGGGGCATCCGGGCCCGGCAGCGCCACCCTCTGCGGCGCTGCGCGGGGGGTGGAGTGCGGGGGAGACGGAGATGCGCATGTATGACGCGAGTCAGAGACGTGCGAGCGCAGGGACCAGGGTGGACGGGAGAGCGGGATGAGCTTGAGTACGAGCTTGCGTTTGCATCATCATCCACTAACTAATATTCGTTCGCGCGCCTACATGACCCCGCCACTCTCTATATCGCTCGCCCCGACTTTGAGTCCTTACACATGCGAACGGATTTTATCGGCAGCCGCCAGCCCCTGCACAAGACCTGGGGCCTCCCTCGAGCCTCGACCGGACACACAATGTGGACACACCGCTGGATCCCGCTTTTGCTGCGACCCTTTTGCTCTCCCTTTCCCCTGCCCCCCTGGCCGCCGTCCGTTGCAGCGGCAGTGGCCGCGCGTGGAGATGTGTGCATGTGCATGCATCTTGCCTTGCCTCACTGGCCCGGCGCCCACGCCGCGACCTTCTTGGGCAGCAGCTGGTTCGACAGGTCCTCTCCGTGGCCTAGGCAGCCGTGGGGGCCCCGGCCCCAGGTGAAGACGGCATCATCGCAGAGGATGGCGATGCTGTAATCGCCTCCCGCCGACGCAGCTACGACGCGCCGCCCAGCCAAGGCCTCGTTCTTCTTCGGCAGCAGTTGGTTCTGCTGGTCGCCGTGGCCCAGCTCGCCAGAGGCTCCCTTGCCCCAGCTCGAGACGGCGCCGTCAGCGGTGAGGGCGAGGCTGTGCGCGATTCCAGCCGACACGGCGATGACGCGCTGCCCCGCCAACGCCTCGACCTTCTTGGGCAGCGGCTGGTCCTGCTGGTCGCCGTGGCCCAACTGGCCAAAGACTCCACGGCCCCAGCTCCTGGCGGCGCCGTCGGCGGTGATGGCGAGGCTGTGGTGCATTCCAGCCGACACGGCGACGACACGCTGGTCAAATGCGTCGACCTTCTTGGGCAGCGGCTGGTCCTGCTGGTCGCCGTGGCCCAGCCGGCCACAGGCTCCCCAGCCCCAGCTCCAAACGGAGCCGTCGCCGTTGATGGCGAGGCTGTGGCTAAAGCCAGCCGACACAGCGAGGACACGCTGGCCAGCTAAGGCCTCGACCTTCTTCGGCAGCAGTTGGTTCTGCTGGTCGCCGTGGCCTAGCTGGCTATAGGCCCCAAAGCCCCAGCTCCAGACGGCGCCGTCGGCGGAGATGGCGAGGCTGTGGAGTGCTCCAGCCGACACTGCGACGACGCGCTGGCCAGCAAAGCCTTCGATCTTCTTCGGCTGGCACTGGGCCTGCCAGTCACTGTGGCCTAGCCGGCCTTGGCTTCCGTAGCCCCAACTCCAGACGGCGCCAGCGGCGGTGAGGGCCAGGCTGTGCGCGCTTCCAGACGACACACTCACGGCGCGCTCGCCGCCCAGCATCGACGGGAGGCGGGCAGGTGTGTTAAGCCGCGCCACACCTTCGCCGTGGCCGAGGAAGGAGCTCGCTGCTGATCCTCCTGGGAGGAAGGAGTACTGCTCTGAGCCGCACGACGAGAGCCGCCCCTCGCCATCAATGAAGACGCTGTGCCGTTGGCCTGCCGCCGCCCTCGCCGGCGGGTTGGACTCGCACAGCAAGGCCGCAAAGCACAGCCACCGCACGGCGCAGCTCTCGCCCTCTGGCTGCGCGGGAAGCTCGAAGCCGCGCTCGCGCGCCCACAAGCGGATGCCCTCCGCCGCAAGCGAGGAGTGGAAGAGCAGCGAGACGGCCGCGGCGCGAGCGATGTCGGGAGGGTTGCAGCGAGAGACGACGCGCACGAGGAGGTCCGTGGGGAGGTCGAGGAGGCGGGCGGGCGGGCGGGCTGGGGTAAGCGGCGCGGCGGTGGTGGGGGCGAGGCGGCGCGAGCGGCGGCGCGGCGGGGTGGACATCGCCAGAAAAGAATTTAAATCCCCGCCGCACTAAAACACTACGCAAGAAATAATTCAGCAGATCCTCACACAAGAAGAAAAGAAAAGGCAGAAATCCATGGAGTTCGCGACCCCGGAAATCCATGGAGCTCGAGCCGCGCCACTCTCTCCGCCACGTCAACCTCACGCCCGAGGTACTCGAAGGCCTTTTCGCGCGGTTCGACGGAAATTGGTCCGACCCCGAGCGGGACGAGGCGCACGAGCGCGGCCTGCGCACCAGTCTCTTTGAGACTGACGTGATGGACCAGCTCCTGCGCAGAATGGAAGACGACCGCGTCGTGCGCCTCATCGGACACATCACGGAGACACACGAGGAGCGGCTGGTCGTGTGCGCTCGCGGCCTTGCCACGGCTCTTGGCCGGCTCGCCAGCCGCCCACAGGCGTTCGCCACTACGCCATCCTGGCTGTGGGTGTTGCACAACCACGTAAACTACCTGACGGATGCGGAGATTAGCCCTAAGCTCATCGACGGCGCGTGCGACGCGCTGGCCTCGCCGGCGTGCCACTCGTGGCTCAAGCAGATGGCGCTCGGGGCCCTCATGCGCGTCGCCCTCCGGGGCACCGCCACGCTGCGCCCGCTGCTCGCCCCTCGGGCCGACGAGATCGTCGCGTGGTGCTCGACGATCCTGAGGGAGACCCGAGCTCATTATTTGAAGATCCAATTTCGCGCGTGCTACACCGTCTGCTCGTTTGCGTACTGCCTCGACCGACCGGAGCTCGCGCGGGCAGCCGCCGAGTGGTTGCGCCGACTGTACCCGACTGCTGACGGCGAGGCGAGCCGTTGGGTGCATTCGCTCTCGTCCGTGCTCGAGCGCAATTCGCGCCGCCACCTCCAGCGCACGGGCTACCTCCGGCCGGGCGAGACGTGGCACATGTACCTCGGAATGCTGAGCCACCCGTCGGCCCACCTGCGCTTTGTGGGCGCGGTGATGCTAACCACGGTGCTGGAGGCGGTTGGCCACGGCGCCTTCGACGTGGCTCCGTTCGAGACGCCATCCTCGCGCCTCTACCTCGAGGAGGCACTCGACGCGCGCGTGCGCACCGACGCCACGCTCACGAGGCAGGAAGCTGAGACGCTGCGCCGTGCCGCGGGCGGCGCTGCACCTCATGCGCTCGTGGCGGAGGCTGCGCTGCGGCTTGCGAACGATCCCGTCGCGGAGGTGCGTGATCTGGGGGAGGTCGCGCGCAGCCTGCTGCCACGGCGCGTCCTGCAAGAGATCGTGTGGTGCCCAAGCACGCACCACCTCTTCCACCCCGGCGCGCGAGCGCTCGTGCGGTGCATGCTCCTGCTTTCGCAGCGCGGCGACGTGCCGCTGCCGGCCGACTTGCTCGTGTTACACGTACTACCGTGCGCGTGTCTCGCCGTCCCGTGAGAGTGCCGAGCCTTCCAATTGTACGTTTCTGTGGCTTCCTGCCTCGCCGCAGCCGCCGCCCTCCGTGTCGCCGCGTCGCCACCACCTCCCTCGGCATCGCCGTCGCAGCTCCGCCGCCGTCTGCCTCGCCCCCACGTTCTCCACCCTACCCCTGATCTTCCTTCCTGTAGATAGATAGATAGGAAGGCGACAATTCCTGTCATGTGAGTGAGAGTTGTACACACTCACACACTTCATCTGGAAAAAGAAACCCGTGGGCGGGGGTGTTGCACGCCAATTGCACGCCCTTTGGGGGTGCAAGTGCCGCGCGGTGCCAGTGCAAAATCAACAGAAAGCTTCGGCACGGCGCCAACCTGAAGCAGAAGCGACAGCGACATCGAGGCGCGACAGCGACTCAAATTCCGACATGGTCGCTTTCGGTCTCTGCTTGGCGGGGCTCGTGCTTGCCGAGGGCCGGGACCTCGTGGGCGACGCCACGGGATCGGACATTGTCCAGCGCCGCATGCTCGAATCGCCGTCGTCGTACTGCGTGCCGGGCCAGTCTTGCTGGCCGTCCAACGCAGACTGGGCATCGTTGGCCGAGTCCCTCAGCCAAGGGCCCTCGGCGCTCACTGCGCTCGCGGAGGAGTCCTACGACGTCTGCTACGAGCAGTACACGAACGCAATCGGCCTGATGCAGGAGGGTCACGGCGCGTGTATGCAGGACAACCACTGCAAGTTCGAGGCGTGCGCCGGCGACGGCCTCGTCAACCTTCCCGCCTACTCGGTGGCGGCCGCCACGGTGGCCGACGTGCAGGCCGCGCTGGAGTTTGCCAGCACGCATGACCTGAGCGTCTCAGTCAAGACGTCCGGGCACTCGTACGCGGGGAGCAGTGCGATGAAGGGCTCGCTGCTGATCTGGATGGCCGAGTTCGAAAAGTTCGGCACGATCGCCACTCACACGGACAGCTGCGGCACCGCGACCGAGCAGGTGCTCAAGGTGGGCGGCGGGCAGGTGTGGGGCGAGGCGTACCCGGTGGTCGGCGATGCCGGGCGTGACATCGTCGGCGGCGGCGGTCTCACGGTCGCCGCGGCCGGCGGCTGGCTAATGGGCGGCGGGCTGAGCGCCCTCTCGCGCACTTTTGGCTACGGGATCGACAACGTCGTGGCCTTCGAGGTGGTGGCTGCCGACGGCGTGCTGCGCACGGCTGACGCATGCTCGGAGCCCGACCTCTTCTGGGCGCTGCGCGGCGGCGGCGGCGGCGCCTTCGGCGTCGTGACTGCCGCCTACCACCGCACACACGCGTCATCGGCCGTGGCGGCGCTCTCAATGAGCATCGACGACATCACCTGGGCCACCTGGGAGAGCCGCACGCCCGTCATCGAGAGCTGGCTCGACTTCTGGGTCGAGACGTCGCCCACGCTCGGCCGCGAGTGGTCGGGAGGCTACTGGACTCTCTCGTCCATCGTCGTGCTGTACTTTCGTGGCACGGCGAGCGAGGCCGAGGCCACGTTCGTCGGCGCGCTGCGCGAGTGGCGGGCGGGGCTCACGGCGGAGCAGCAGCAGTACGTGACGATCAGCCTGACCGAGTTCGACAGCTACTGGGCGTCGCGCACAGTGGGGTGCCGCGACAGCTCCAGCGTCGCCTGCCGCACCTTTGGCGCCGAGACCGACGCGACGGGGCAGGCGGGCGTCAACATCCACTCGAGGATGATCCCTGCGGCTTGGGTGACGCAGAACAACGGCGCCGAGGCCAAGGCGACGCTCAAGTGGATGATGTACAACGGCTGGTTCACCTTCAACTACTTCCTGGGCGGCGCGGTCACTGACGTGGCCGCCGACGAGACGGCCGTGCACCCGTCGGTACGCGTCTCGATTTGGAACATGGAGGTCTTCGACCCGAGGCTCATCGAGCGACTGCGCGACGACCTGCCCGACTCAGGTGCGCTCGAAATTCCTCAAGCCAATGCGCGCCCAGCCACACCGCAAGAAATTCCTCAAGCCAATGGGCACCCACCTTCTTGCCCCAACGCTCAAACCGCCCGGCCGCCCGCAGGCGTGTGCTACAACCACGCGGCCAAGGACGAGCCCGACTGGGACGCGCAGGCGTGGGGCGCCAACCTGCCTCGCCTGCTTCAGGTCAAAGCCGCTTACGACCCGGCCAATCGGCTCAACTGCTTCCACTGCGTGGGCTACCAGTCCCTGGGTGGCGACGACCTTACACCGGCGACCTGCGAAGGCATGTACAATTGCGCTGCAGCCCCCGGCGACGAGCCGGCGCCACAACCACCCGGCACTCCGCCCTTGCCGCCGGCATCGCCACCAGCAACGCCGTCTGCCGCTGACGACTACGTCGACCTTTCGCTGCCGCTCGTGAACGCGGCGGGCTACAACACCCACCCGGACGCCGTTGCTTTGAGCGCGGCCACCGACGCGATCGGCCCTTCGGGCATCGGCTTTAAAGGTTACGTCGTCCTCAAGGGCACTGAAGTCGTCGCCGAGCGGTACGACGTCGGTGACGCAACGTCGACGTACCAAATCTTCTCGTGCACGAAATCTTGGGCGGCAACGATGATCGGCGAGCTCTTGTACGCTGGGCAGCTCACGCTCTCCACAAAGCTCGAGGACATCTTCACGACGCTCAACTGGGACACGGTGAACAGAGGCGCAGAGAAGCGGCTGATAACGGTCGAGCAGCTCCTTACGATGTCGAGCGGCCTGACGGAGTGGGGCTGCGGCTGGGGCGGTGCAACCGCGACGCTGGTGGCGACGCTCAACCAGGGCTATGTCAGCTTCACCAACGCGGAGGTAGGCTCCTTCAACTACATCTGCACGCAGAAGATCCTTGCGTGGATCATCTACGAGAAGAGCGGCCTCACGCCGATGGAATTCGGACTGAGCTCGCTGTTTCCCGCGCTCGGCGTGTCCGCCGGTGAGTTCACGTGGCCCATCGACGCCGGGACACTTCAGAACACGGAGACAGACCTCCATATGGCGCCGCGCCACCTGGCCAAGTTGGTGCTGCTCTTCCGGCAGCAGGGGCTCGCTGCGCCCGGCGGCCCCCGCCTCCTCTCCACGACGTTCGTACAGACGGCGATGAGCAACCACTGGTCCCCCTGGTACTACAGCGGGAGGCAGTGTGGTGCGTCGCCGCTGCTCATGGGCTACGGCTACAGGTTCTGGCTCTACAACCCGGATTGGGTGTGCGCTCTCGGCGCCTCCGGCCGCTACGCGTGCTACTCGCCGACTCTCGACATCTCGTTCGGGGTCATCGCCACGAACGGCTACGCCGTTGGCTGCACGCTGATGCAGCAGCTTGCCAACCTCGCGTTCGCAGGGCTGCTCGCTCCGCCGCCGCCGCCGCTTCCGCCGTTCTTTCCAGGCGCGGCGCCCGCTCCGCCCCCTCCAGCGACGCCTTCAGTGGGCGTTGTCAGTCAGGGTTGGGACTTTGCGGGTCCCGACTGCAATGGCGCCGCAACGCGCACGTGGCAAATGGAGGCCTTCCCGACTGCGCCGCACTCGCATTGTACTGATACGGGCGCCGGCTTCAGCGTGCAGGGCGAGTACTGCAATATGGGGGGCGGAACGCCCTATCTGACGGGCGAGTACTTCCCAACGTCCGACTGCACCTCCACCCCGTCGCCGTACGCGTTGGCCGCCGATTTCTCCTGTGTCAATCATGCGGAGGGCAGCTCCTCCCGCTACGTCTGTGCGCCGACGCCCGACTGCACCGCGATCTCGGACTACTGCCGGGGGTGCCTCTCGTTTCTGTACTGCCTCAGTGCACCCGACGAATGCGCCAATGCGGACGAAGGCTGTGATGCGTGCGTCGGCTACATTCCCTGCGGCTCTACCATGCCGGTGGGACCGCCTCCGAGCCAGCCGTGCGCCGTGGATTCCACTCCTGCTGGCGTCCACTGCTTTACGGGCGACACTTTGGATCCCGGCGGCGGAAACATCGTGGAGTCTGGACTGCCTGCCGGGAGCGAGGAAGTGTGCGCGGCCGGCGGCTACTCCGCATTCCCGTACGATTGCGCTGGCCTCGCCGCTTTCTTGGACAGGCTTCCGGCGGGCGAACGTGATGGCACCAGGCAGCACTACACCGAGCGCTGCTGCGGCGCCCCGCCTTCGCTTCCTGTCGGCGCCGCCACGTACTTCTACTCCTCCGCTGACTGCACCGGCACCCCCAGCGTGCTGGCGATCGGCCACGGTGAGTGCGTGGGCGACGAGCGGGGTTACTTTTACACGATCTCTTGCGCGGCGGGCGCGTCGAACCTCTCTTGGTTCAGCAACGCCGACTGCAGCGGCGACGCCGACGGCACTCTGGGGTCGAACGAGGACGACGGCATGTACGGCTGGCTCTTGGGCAAGGCGGACGGCAGCAGCGGCCCGATCAGGCCCGGCGACTGCTGGACGTGGGCCACCTCGCCGACGGACGCCACACCCGCGTCGAGCCAGGCCTTCACATGCTGGCCGTCGCTTCTCCCTGAGCCTGACAGGTGCGGCGCGTGCGTGCAAGCTTGCCGCGATGTGCCTCATGATGGTGAGTCGGTGCCTCCCAATCAGACATGTGGCTGCATCGCCGAGCGCTGCCGGGCTGCATGCGACGAGCAGTACGGCCGGGAGGCGGTCCAAGCGTACATTGACGGCGGTTGCGACGACAGCGGCGGCGACGACGGCGAGACCGACGAAGACCCAGGTGGATCAAAATGCGGCGGCGAGTGCCATCACGAGGTCTACGGCGAGACCTGCGGTTTTGGAACGTGGGGCGGCGGCGAATCTTTCATGCAGGTCTGCGAGGATGGCGTGAACGTCGCCAAGCACTACGAAGATGTCGACTGCCAAGGTTCACTCGTGAAGGAGTGGGTGGAAGATTCGTCCTGCCAACACGAGTACCACGAGAAAGCCTCGGACGGCTCCACTCTGTACGAGAGCAAGTGGTGCGATGGGAGCACGCCGATCAAATCTCTGTGCACCGAGCCCGGCGACGAGCGCGACGAGTGGATGTGCGACTACGAGTCGGACTCGGCGGGGCCGGCCTCGCTTGCGGCGCAGCAGCACTTAGCGTCCATGACGCAAGATTGCCGAGACTACATGAACGGGCTTGGCGACTCGCTGGGCGATCTCTCAACCATCTGCGCCTGCTATAGAAGCGGCGACGAGGCGGCGGCGCGCGCCGCGACGTGCGCTCCGACGGCCGGCGCGAGCACGGTGTCCCACCTGTACGAGCGGTGCGTCAACCCCCCTCCCGGCTGCTACGAGGCGCCGTGCTCTAGCACGTGCCCGGCGGCCGTCGCCACCTCTGCATGGTGGGACAGCCTCAGCCCGACGTGCCAGACCATGATAAGGGAGGGCACGGCCGATTTTCAGAGCTTCTGCCGGTGCTACACCTCGGGCGTCTACCCCGTCGGCGCCACTTGCTCTGGCGCGGGATCGATCCCGGGCTACAGCACTACCGAGGAGCAGTTCGAGGCGTGCCGTGCAGTGCCAGGCGTCCCCACGCCGCCGCTCCCGCCGTTCCTGCCAGGTGAGGCGCCCGCTCCACCCCCTGAGTGTGTTGCTCGCGGCTACGAGTCGGTCGGGTGCAACTGCGACCCGGCTTCTGAATGCTCGCCGTGGGGCTCGAGCTCGGGCGGCGACTGCTGCGGGGACGACGGCGGCTACTGCGGCAGCGAGTGGGTCTCGACGGACGCATCGACGTGGATTGATACTTGCACTGGGCTCGACTTCATCCGTGTCTCTCCAGGCTGCGGTGTGGAGGTGGCGACCGAGACTGGCGGCGGAGGAGAGACATTCACGTACGACTCCAGCGTGCTCGTGTGCGGGTACGAGTGCGAGCCTCGGCCAACGCCGGGCTGCGACAGAGTGCGCTCGCTGCGCCTGTTTCCGCTCGCGCCGCCCACACCGCCGCACCCGCCGTTCCAGCCAGGCCAGGCACCTGCTCCGCCCCCGCCGTCTCCCTGCGTCCACGATGACAGCAAGTGCTCGAGCAGCGGCAACGACTGCTACGCCGATGGCCAGTCTGAGGCGCAGACCTGCAGCGACGGCTACACCGCCAGCCCTCACCCCGACGACCCTCGGAACGAAGGTCGCTACACGTGCTACCCGCCTCACTGCCGCTGCGACGCGTCCAAGTGCTCGAGCGCCGGCGGCGACGACTGCTACGCGGACGGCACGCCAGACGGTGAGGCGCAGACGTGCCGCGACGGCTACTTGGTCGTCCCTGTCAATGACGGGCAGTACACGTGCTGCTTCTTCGACCAGCCGCCGTCGTGCGATACGCTCGATTTTCAGATCTTCACGAACACCGACTGCAGCGGCTCGCCTGCCGTGACGTCGGCGATGTTGTCCGACCGGACGTGCGTGGCGACTCCGGACTCGGTGCTGACGGGTCAGTATTTTGACGTCGACTTTACGCACTGGGGGATGCACGCCACCAGTGAGACGCTCGTCCACGCGTGCTCCGACAGCTCGATGGACAGTTGCGTGGATCAGTTCGATGGTGGCGAGCGCTGTTCCGACGTGCCATTTGAGACGTGCGTCGCGATAGACGAGGCCCGATCCACCGGCATCAAGATTACGTGTGCACCGGCCGTCGACTGCGCCGTGCCGAGTGAGGGCGTGTGCCTCGAGTACGGCAGTGTCGACAGCGACTGCTGTGGCAACTCTGACGTGGTCGGCTGCGCGAGCGGCTACACCCTCTCCCTGCAGATCGCGATCGACGAGGGCGGCACGTGGGCGCGGCCCGCCGATGCGGGCTTCTATCCGCAGTGCGCGAGTGGAGGCCAGAAGATTGGCAACACGTGCTGCACACCAGATCCGGCGCCGCCGCCGCCGTCGCCCGCCGAGTGCTGCGCGGACGTGTGCCCGACGCGCTCGTACTGCGAGGCGGAGGGGATCGGCGGCGGCTACTGCAACTGCGGCGACTGCGGTGTGCCCTCGTGCGGCGACTGCGATTGCAACCATTACGGCGAGCAGTGCTGCGACTTTAGCGGCGGCTGCGATCCGACGTGCGGCGGCGAGCCGTCAATGTGCCGCGACAATTCGAACGACTGCTGCGCGAACGAGGCGATGGGCGAGGCTGCCGTGTGCGAGGCGGGCTATGTGCCGACTGTCCAGCCGCAGAGCTACGACGACTGTCCCAACTACACGTGCATGCCGGCGCCGCCGCCGTCGCCGACTTGTGTCGACGACCCCAAGGGCATCCTCGCTGCCGACGCGTACCTAAGCCCTGGCGGCACCACCTGCGCGGAGAAGATGGCGCAGGTTGGAGCGACGTGCGAGACCATCGACGAGGACTACAACGGCTACCGCGTCTCCTACGCGCAGCTCTGCCCAGCGACGTGCGGCACGTGCGCCTCGTACACCGAGCCAGAGTGCCACCGCCCAGAGGTGTGCTGCTGCGATCCGCCGCCGCCCTCGCCGCCGCTGCCTTTTGGCCTGTCGGCGGTCTCGCCGGACGCGCTCACCTTTTCCGAGGCGGTGGCCTGGTGCGCCGCGCAAGGGCTCACTCTCGCCATGCCGCGCACCGAATCGGAGAATGAGGCCGTGTACGCTGCGTGCCAGTCGTACTACGCTTGCTGGCTCGACGCGCGCGAGAATGCGGCCGGGGATGGATGGGTGGACGGCGACGGCAACGCGCTGACGTACACGAACTGGGATGGCGGCGAGGGGTCGTGCCACTGCGGCGAGGATCGCGTCTTCATCAACAGGGTTGGGACGGCCGAATGGCACGATGTGGGCGAGGGCGGCGACGGGCAGACACGCGCCATTTGCCAGCAGCCGTCGGGTTCGATTTCGCCGTCGCCGCCGTCGTCGACTGTGTGCGACACGTCGCAGTGTGCAGAATACAGTCCGACGTCGCAGGACGACGACTGCTGCGCGCTCGATTCGGACATCTACTGCATGAACGGCTACACGCTCTCGCGCGTGATGCCGGGCACGCCTGGTGTGACGTGGCTCAATGGTCAGATGTCGGGCTGCGAAGGCTACGGCGGCAACACGTGCTGCTCGCCGCCAGAGAGTCTGGCACCGCCGCCATCGCCGAGCTCCTGCGCGAGAGGGTACACCGCGGTGTCCGGCGAAGGCTGCTCGAACTACATCCACATGGATGACGCCAGCACCTACGGCGTTCAGGGAGGATCCACGACCCTCGAGGAGTGCGCCGCGGCCGTGCAGGCTCTCAACGGGCAGGATGGCTGCGTGGGCGAGTACTTCTTCTTCGAGACGGACGGCTACTGCAACTGCCCGACGGACGCGTGCACGACGGGCTCGGAGAACAGCAACGCGGGCGGCTCGGGGCAGCTCTACCGCTTCAACAGCGATTGCGACTCGTCGCCGTCGGCACCGCCATCGCTCACGTGTACGTGCGACTGCTACGGTTCGAACACGGACATGTTCAACGGCACCCACGAAGGCCAGCCCGACGATTCGTGCCGAGAGGACTACTGCTTCGCCAACGGGATCTCTGCTGAGGATTGCATCTACGGCCAGTACGACTCATGCTGCTATTCGGAGGGATACGCTGGGGCACCGTGCTGCGAAGATGCGCCGTCGCCGCCATCGCCACTGCCCTTGACGCCACCGCCCTCGAACTACTATGAGGGCGATGCCGGCTCGGACTGCGACGTCGGAGACGTGATCGTGAGCGAGTCGGAGTGCCGCAGCGCCGCGAGCTCCGTCGGTGGGTATGACGTGGATGCCGGCTCGACCACAAACAGCCAGCGGTACTTCAAGAGTTACTCGGGTGGATGTCAGACCGGCTGTAGCATGGAGCGTGACAGCGACTGCGAGTGCAATGGCTGCGGCACCTGCTTCTACTGGAACGCGGGCTACGGCGGCGCCTGCGGCTCGCACAGGCCATTATGTGCGAGGCCACCGTCCCCACCATCGCCGCCATCACAAGTCGCTCTTGAGTTTGCCGGCATGTCGCCCAACTTTCACTACAGCAACGCGCTGTGGACCAACAGCAATCCTCACACGGGCGCCACCGATAGCCAGGGCCGTACTGAGCGTAAGACGGCGGCTTTCGGACAGCCGACGAGTGTCGTGATTCTCGAGATGACACGAAACTCCGTCACGCACTCTGTGAGTCTGCCGATCTCGCCGGCCCAATCGCTGCTGTCGATCTTCATGGGCGGCTCTATGTCAACAAACGGCAGCCTCTCTGACTGGCGGCAGCTATCTGGCTATGGCTACCAGCCGCACTGCAACCGGCAAGGCTTCAATATCGTAGGGCAGACGGCGTATGGCGGCGTCAACGGGCAGAACAACGCGCGCATCGGAATCTATTTTAACGAGCAAATCGACTGCAGCTCGCCCGACTCGGGGCGCGTGGTGGGCGGCTCGTCGCTTTCGGCGGCCGTCGGCTGCACCAGCAGCTGCACAGGCAGCAGTAGTAGTAGCACTCAGAGCGATGTGTGGGTGCGTGTGCTTGTTGCTGGCGGCTCGTCGGGTTCGATTTCGCCGTCGCCGCCGTCGTCGACTGTGTGCGACACGTCGCAGTGTGCAGAATACAGTCCGACGTCGCAGGACGACGACTGCTGCGCGCTCGATTCGGACATCTACTGCATGAACGGCTACACGCTCTCGCGCGTGATGCCGGGCACGCCTGGTGTGACGTGGCTCAATGGTCAGATGTCGGGCTGCGAAGGCTACGGCGGCAACACGTGCTGCTCGCCGCCAGAGAGTCTGGCACCGCCGGCATCGCCGAGCTCCTGCGCGAGAGGGTACACCGCGGTGTCCGGCGAAGGCTGCTCGAACTACATCCACATGGATGACGCCAGCACCTACGGCGTTCAGGGAGGATCCACGACCCTCGAGGAGTGCGCCGCGGCCGTGCAGGCTCTCAACGGGCAGGATGGCTGCGTGGGCGAGTACTTCTTCTTCGAGACGGACGGCTACTGCAACTGCCCAACGGACGCGTGCACGACAGGCTCGGAGAACAGCAACGCGGGCGGCTCGGGGCAGCTCTACCGCTTCAACAGCGATTGCGACTCGTCGCCGTCGTCACTGCAATACGTCGGATCGCCGCAGCAAGGCTACGCGGACGCGATGGCGTACTGCGCGACGCTCGGCGGCACGCTTGCGTCAGCGACTGCGGAGTTGCAGGCGATGTACAGCACTTGGACGTCGGCAGAGATCTGGATCTTGGATAGCGGCTCTGGCGGATCGAGCTTGTACGACACTTGCCATGCTGGCGGGTGTCCATGCATCAATTGTGCATACCCATCAGAGGTGAAGTCGTTTGTCTGCGCGCTTAGCGGGGCGGTGCCGCCATCGTCGCTTCCACCGTCGCCGCCTCCCTCCGCGTCGCCGTCGCCGCCGCCTCCCTCCGCGTCGCCGTCGCCGCCGCCGCCGCCGCCGTTCCCGCCAGGCCAGGCGCCCGCTCCGCCACCATCGACACCATCGTCATGTGAGGCGTGGGGCTACGGGGCGGAAAATGAGCTCAGCTGCTATGGCGGCATCTCAGGCATGGCGAGCAACCTGGAGCACGCGTGTTGGGCGGAGCTGGACACGCGGCCATCGTGCTGCGGCTACTGTGGGCCGTGGGCGGGCAGTGCCGACGGCACGCAGTGGGTGGAGACGTGCCACCACCTCGACATCATTCGAGTGACGCCCGGATGCTCGTATGAGCTGGAACGCTCGGACGGGCAGCGCTTCACGTTCCATCAGGACACGCGCGTCTGTGCCAACACCGTGGGGTGTGACAGCGTGCGCCGCATTCGGGTCTTCAGCGCAACCGCTGCGGCACCATCGCCGCCGCCGCCCTCGCTCCCGCCGCTGCTGCCGCCACACTCGGCCCCAAGCTTCACCACAATCGATGGAACGGCGCGCTCATACGATGGCTGCGCGACCCGGTGCGCATCTGCGGGCATGAGCCTCGCATGTATCACGTCCGCTTCGGAGATGGCGCTTGCGTGGGCCGCGGCCGGCGGCAGCGGTGCATACATTGGGCTCCGGCAGCCGTCCTCTCAGCAAGGCTCCAGTGGCTGGGCTTGGCCGACGGGGTGCGCCTCCACATACACCAGTTGGGGAGGTGGCCAGCCCGAGTCGAACAGCGAGCACTGCGTGGCCTTCGGCAATTGGGGAGGGCCATACAACTCGTGGCATGACGTGCCGTGCAGCGGCTCCTACCATTGCCTGTGCAGCAACACGCCCCCGCGACCACCCTCGTCACCGCCACCACTGTCCCCGGCCCCGTCGCCGCCGTCGCCGCCGCCGCCGCCGCCGCTCCCGCCGTTCCAGCCAGGCCAGGCGCCCGCTCCGCCCCCTCCTGAGTGTGCTGCTCGCGGCTACGAGTCGGTCGGGTGCAACTGCGACCCGGCTTCTGAATGCTCGCCGTGGGGCTCGAGATCGGGCGGCGACTGCTGCGGGGACGACGGCGGCTACTGCGGCAGCGAGTGGGTCTCGACGGACGCATCGACGTGGATTGATACTTGCACTGAGCTCGACTTCATCCGTGTCTCTCCAGGCTGCGGTGTGGAGGTGGCGACCGAGACCGGCGGCGGAGGAGAGACATTCACGTACGACTCCAGCGTGCTCGTGTGCGGGTACGAGTGCGAGCCTCGGCCAACGCCGGGCTGCGACAGAGTGCGCTCGCTGCGCCTGTTTCCGCTCGCGCCGCCGCCACCGCCGCACCCGCCGTTCCAGCCGGGCCAGGCACCTGCTCCGCCCCCGCCGTCTCCCTGCGTCCACGACGACAGCAAGTGCGTCGAGCCGACGTGCTGGGCGGACCCGAACATGGAGGCGCAGACCTGCAGCGACGGCTACACCGCCAGCCCTCACCCCGACGACCCTCGGAGCGAAGGTCGCTACACGTGCTACCCGCCTCACTGCCGCTGCGACGCGTCCAAGTGCTCGAGCTACGGCAACGACTGCCACGCGGACGGCACGCCAGACGGTGAGGCGCAGACGTGCCGCGACGGCTACTTGCCGATCGCGATCCGCGACTCGCAGTACACCTGCTGCTTCGACTTTGACCAGCCGCCGTCGCTGCCGCCGCTACCCCCATCACCGCCGGGCAAAGCCCCCGCTTCGCCACCGGCCACGTGCGGTCAGTCGGCAACGCAGGCCGATTGGACGGCGGTGTTTGCGGTGTGCCCTCGATGGGGCGAGTGGGCGCAGGCGCACTGCCCAACCGGCCCACCGTGCCCGGAGTACCCGACTGAGCTCGAGCTCTGCGACCTCTGCACCGAGTGGGCGACGGACTTGTGCGGTGAAACCGCGCTTGCGAAGGAGTGCCAATGGGCAGGATGCAGCGACTTCATGAGGGACTCGTGCGAGTCGCTGCAGCCGTCCCCGCCCTACTCCGCCCCGCCCCCACTGTCGCCGCCCCCCTCGCCTCCGCTGCCCGTCTTCTCCTACCACCCGGGCCCAAAGTCGTTCGATGGTGCGATTGAGGCATGCAAAGAGCTCGGCGGCCAGCTCGCGACGATTACCTCGCAAGCCGACCAGGACGCCGCTTTCGCTGTCGTCCCCTCCGGCACGCGCGCATACATCGGGCTAAGCGACCGCGAAGAAGAGGGCACGTTTGCGTGGGTCGACGGCAGCCCCGTCGACTACACCAACTGGGGCTCGGGCGAGCCCAACAGCTATGGCAGTACAAATGAGGACTGCGCCGGCTTCCACGTCTACTACACCGACGGCAAATGGAACGACTTTACCTGCGGAGGGATCGACAGCAACGACGGCAACGCGCCCATCGGCTATGTCTGCCAAGCGACACCGTTCCCATTGGCCTCGCCGTCGCCACCACCGCCCTCCACCTCGCCGTCGCCGCCGCCTCCCTCCGCCTCGCCGTCGCCACCGCCACCGTCCGCCTCTCCCTCTCCGCCGCCCCCCTCGGCCTCGCCGTCGCCGCCGCCTCCCTCCGCGTCGCCCTCGCCGCCGCCTCCCTCCGCCTCGCCCTCACCGCCGCCTCTTTCGCCGCCGCCGCCCTCCCCGCCACCACCCTCGCCGCCTCCTTCGCCTCCGCCGCCCTCGCCGCCGCCGCCGGCCCCGCCGCCTCCTTTGCCGCCGCCGCCCTCGCCGCCGCCGCCGGCCCCGCCGCCTCCTGCGTCGCCGCTAGGTGTCTCTGTGGCTACGGACGCTTCAACCCCAGACGGTGGAGCAGGACGCCGCCACCAGCGCGTCCTGCTCGACGCCAGCCAGATGACTGGCGACCCGGCGTCTACTCTGTACGACTACGCCGACAGCATCTCCCTCGACGCGCAGTTCCACCTCGTCGACACCATTTCCGGGACCGATCTCAATCAGACCAAAATCATCGACCTGTGCGAGAGCGCGGCGGCATCGGCGACGTGCGCCATCGGCGACGGCGCCACCATCTCCGAGCTCAAGCTGCTGCAGCTGCTCGACCGCACCGACACGATCCGCGGGGACCCTCTCCTTGACGCCTCCGAAATCGAGGGTGATGGCGCGGGAAGTGGCGTCACCGTCTCGCACGCCAACAAGGTGGAGATCGTTGCCCGTTCCGTCGCCATCTTGGAGGAGGGCCAGACGCTTGATGAGCTGGCCGCCATCGTGACCGCGGAGACCGAGCAAAAGATCACACAGCTCCGTGACGATACCCTCCTCGAAGGCGACTTGGCCTTTACCAGCCTAGTCATGTTCCCTCCGCGTCCGCCACCATCGTCGCCGCCTAGGCCGCCTCCGTCCCCGCCGCCACGCACCCCATCGTCCTTCTTCACCGCCTGCACCGTCAGTCCAGGCGTTGCGGCGTTCGTTGCCGAGCTTGACCTGTGTTCCACCGAACCCCTCGTGTCA